TATATATTTCATAGTATTCATGAAAAAGTCATTAATTAACAATTATTCTCGCAATATAAATCTACAAGAATGAAACTTCTGACCAAAAAAAGAAAAAAAAAAAAAAAAAATGAATCAATGAATTATTGGCGAAAGTCTGTGAAAAATATTTATAATTCCAATATAGCAGAGTCGATTAGACAAATTCAAACTTTAATTCAATTGATTACACATATTTATATTTACAGCAACTAAATCTTTGTATTTATTAATAACTTACTTTAAATGGTAACTCGTTAATAACATTTTTTTATACTCGATTATCATTTTTTTTTTTTTTTTTTTTGACACAAAAATAACAATATTGTTTAACATATTTTTTTTTTCCTTTTTTTTTGCATTGAACTTGTAAGGAACAGACATTTAATATATTATTTGCATATAATTAATTATAAATTCCTAATATAGTAAAACGTTCATTATAACTTGTCGATAATCTTTTTATATAAGTATTTATATATATATATATTTATATAGAAGAAACGCAATTTCACAAAATAAATTTCTCATGTAAGCAAAAATATTATTTGCATACTATGTACAAAGGTTTTTTTTTTCTTTTTTACATAAAATATTCGCTAAAGCAGTTTCTTGACAAGAAACATTTTTATTCTCATTTGCAAGTGTATGAATCCCCTTTATGCCTCTTGATATACTTTATATATATACTAAAATTATTTTTTTTTTATAATAAAAAATTGAATTTAAAAATAATGAAATTTAATTTCTATTTCAAGCGATTTTATCATAAATCAATAATTAATTGTAATTTAATTTCCAATTATTAATTTTCTGGCAAAGTGAAATTATTTTTATATGACGAATAAAAAAAAAAATATTTCAAATATATGTAGAAGTAAAAAAAGCTTTTTATCTGAAGGCTAAATTTTATTTTTAAGAATTTTGTCTGTTCCTTACGAGTTTTTTTTTTAGAATCAATATATAGAATCGATCAAAAATGGGGGGATGAGAAATTTTGAACTTATTTCTAATTATTATGGACTAGGAAATAAAACACGGTCACGTAAAACGTTGACATTTAAATAAAATCTTCTAAAAGGAAAACTCCGTTTTTGGTATATATAGAAATATGCCTTGCGTGTACATTTCCATTGATGGAGCTTATTTTAGTTTGCAGCACGCAAGTATATTTGAAAGGGTTTATACTACATGAATAGTACATTTTCAATAAGAGAGGCAAGAACGATGAGGTTTTCGAGCGACTTACAGCAGCAATATATATATACATACATACGTATATTCGTACTAAATTGTCGTATAATTCCTGACATATATCTTTTACAACTCAGTTTACAATAAATAGGATCGTCGAAAAAATAATAATAATAATTTTAATGTTAAATAAATTACGTAATAATTAATAATAAAAATTTTATAAAAATTATATAATAATAATTAATAAATAATAAAATTTAAATTTTATAATAATTCGAATATGATACGATTATATATATATGACAAGAATTATGCACCATTATACGTATACACATATATAATTATTTATTTAAACGAATTTTTTTTTTTTTTATTTATTTACCTTTTTTTATATAGTCATATTTTATATATACTCATATTTTCTAGTTTTGCGTTTTTTTTTTTTTATTTCTGTGATATGATACAAAATAGTGCAGCATATAAATAATAAATATAGTCGAATTGGCAAAAAATATAGCAGAGACAATTATTATTGTTCACGATCATTATCAAGGACCTCTCAAGCTCACGTATTTTTTTTTTTAATCTCTTCATTTTTCTGAAATGTATGACATTATTTACAAGGAAATATATATATAAAAATGATATATTTCGTTCTAATTTATTTCGTATGAACAGGCACTCGAGAATTTTTTTTTTTTACAAAACCCCTACATAGAATGGCAATAAAATTTCAAGTAAAATATATAGTTAAAAAAACATTTGTTTTAGAAAAATTTTATTTTTTCTTGATTAAATATTATTTTGGACATTGACTGTACTTGGTGAACAACCTTAACTAAACTGTTCGAAATGTACTGGTAGTTGCCAATACTTAAAAGATTTCTTTCGCAAAAAGTAAAATAAGTTTTATGGAGAAGTTAACTATATAGAAACGAAATGTTCTCAATGTATTTTCAGGAACACGCGCGACTTTTTAAAAAGTTTTCTCCTTTTTATATATATATATATAATATATATATATATGTATTTTGTGAGAGAAATCAGCAGATGTTGCTCTATATGAATTGCGTCGAGCTTGAGAGGCAAAATGAAACAAAATCTCTTTCTCTCTCTCTCTCTTGTCGTGCGCGCACTTTTTCGCAAATGTTTATTCGTCCAGACACTTCATGTGGATTAAAAAAAAAAAAAAAAAAAAATGAAAGCACTTTTTTCTTTACAACGATATATTGCGCACACCTAAAGAGACGCGCAGAGCTTAGCGTTGATAACCCGCTTGTTTGCTTGAGGGGGATGGCTTTTATCTAACTTTTCAGTTTGAATGCTTCCTCTACTCGGTATTATCGAGAAACGATCTACCAATCCGCGCTCATATCCAAACTCCAAGGACATTTGTTCATATCAACGGAGTCACATGGATATTCTCTCTTTGCAGGTGAAACGGATTTTCAAAGTAATTATAATCTCAAATCAACTCCATCACTAGTGAAATTAATCGAAAATTGCAAATTAAAACTTTTGTTTTTTTAATTTCACAAAAATAAATTACAAAATTGTAGTTTAGAATTTTCTGTTTAAAATTAATTTTTGTTTTGTTTCTTTTACTTTGAACTCTGAGTAATATATAGAATTTTGTATTCATCTTGACTGCGAGAGAGAAAATCTCGAATCCTACGGCGGCAGTAGTAACTATTTATTTAGTTCACACTCGCACCGCTAGATGCTAAGAGCAATTATTCCGCTCTCTCACAGTTGAGATGAATTTGGAATTCTATATAAGAACTGTTGATTCAGTAATAACCATTCACAAAAATAATTAAATTATTACACCTTCATTTTAATATTCCTAATTTATTATTCCAAATTTTTCTTTTTACTGTCCCATTCGAATAACAATTAGAATTCACTCTCAAGATAAATCATATTTTTGAACGACTTTTTTTTATAAATTACAATTTATGGATAAATGTCTGTTGGAACATAAAACATGCGGAAAATGTTTCCCTTTTTTCTTAAAACACGTTCTACTAATTAGCCGAAAGAGTAAAAAAAAAAACTGAAGAAAAAACCTTTATATTTTGCTGGTTTTCTAAGGAACTTTGAATACAAAAAGAAGAACGAACAAAAAAAAAAGAGAGAGAGAGAAACAAGTACCAAATGTGCTGATTATGAACATAAGCCCCTTGACTCGTCTAAATACCGTTCTCATAAATCGTGAGTTATTTTGAGTAGCATTTTTAATTGCAAAAGAGTTCAAAAGACGAACGAACAGACTAACAGGATAATTAACCTTTTCCTTTGGAAGGCTCAAGAGAGAGAGAGAGAGAGAAAGAGCGTTGGTGGGTTTATTCGTTGACGTGCATACGAAATAATTAGCAGCGAAACGCTTTTATGAAACGTGGTAAAGGATGCGCGCAAGAGAGAATCGTACAAGTCTAATGATCGCGAACGTGACTCTGAATTGCGACTCTGCTTCTCTATCCAGAATCCTAAACACTCGTTTTCCTTTACCCCCCCCCCCCACCCCCACATTTTCCACGTATTTAGAGTCGAGATAAACAAAAAAACAAAAAAAGTTCTATACATGTATATTTACATCCATGGAAAACACATATCGAAGAAGCAAAAATTAACAGCTCTTCGTTTCTTCGATCCTTTTTTTTTTTTGCAGCACCGCGCAATTATAACACACGTACATTATATGCACCTAATCAATTTTTTTTTTCCAGCTGAAAGTGTTACAAAAAATAACCAATGATGATTTTTCGTTTTTTTTTCTTTCATTTTATTTTTTCATAAAAAAAATAAATACCAAAAAAAAAAATCATTACGGAAATAAATTTTCTATTCTTTAAATAATTGCCAAAAAACAGTTATTAGAATGGGGAAAAATTTAATTTTTTCAATTATTTACAGTGTGAAATTAATTTCTTGAAAACTTATTATTTTCTTTTTTTCAGCAATTATTTGTGATTATCTTAATTATTAGTTACTTATCTCCTATAGTTTTATAATTTACAATATTTTGATTGTTTATAAAAATCTAATAAAATACATATTGTTTTGTTCTATAAAACAAAAATTTAATAATTAATATAAAATAATGTAATATTAACACTAAATAAATAATATTAGAAATAATTAATATAAAGAAAATTTAAAAAAACAATTTGAATTAATAATATAATAGTTTTCTTCTTTGAAATCAACAAATTTCTTAGCAAGATATAAGTCGAAAATGACATTCTTTTTCTAAAAATATTTATATATTAAATTACAATTTAATAATTAATTTCTGAAACAAAGGTATATTTGTTTCATTTCCGTATGATGAAAATAAATGATAATGAGATGTCAATCATAATTAAATTGATAATCAAATGTTAATTTAAAAAAAAGAGAGAGAAATTAACTTTGTTTTATAAATTTATTATACAAATTAAATTATTATCTTTGAGAAGAGATAGTTAACATTTTAAATTAGTAATTTTTGCATATCAATTATTTATTTAATAATGTAATTAAAACATTAATAACGTATTCAGAAAACATGGATATTTGAAAAAAAAAATTCCAATAAAGTTTGCCATTTTCTTATATTACGTTCAAAAATAAATAATTCTTCACATATATGAATAGAAATTCATCGATTTAATTAAATTTCCAACTTTTTTTTTAATCTCTATTTTAATTCTGTATTTCTGTGTTTAAAAATTGATAACATTCCTTTGTGTTAAATTACTGAAATTAAATAATTCTGATTTCCTTATTTTCATTTTAATGAACAATTTTACCTTTTCTTTAAATAATTAAATAATCGTTTTTTTTTTATTCTCTTATTAAATCAATAATGTTAATTTTGTTACATTGAGAAAAGAATTTGTTTCTAACAACCAAATGGTTGAATAAACTAAATAGATTATACAGTTATTGGAATTTTTGATTTAAACAAAATTTTTATTTTTTTTAAATTGAAATTAAAAATTAAAATCAGTCATTGGTTATTTTTATATCAAGAAACACTTGGCAGTAATTATCGCTAAGATTTATGCGTACGTTGACCAATTTTTTTTTTTTAAAGGTCATTACAGCCTAAAAGTACTTACATATTTAATCAGTATACTTATAGTTTAGTGTTCTTCGTTTATAAGTCGTTTTCTTTGGTACGAAAATAATTTAGCACATATTCTCTCTTTTTCACTTTTTTTTTTTTTTTTTTGAATCTCAGCAAACCATCGTCTATCATCGAATATTGGTAAAAGAGGGCCGAGAATTTTTGGCCACCAAATCCAAAGGTAGCCAAGATTTTTCATTGTTGACACTCACATTTTCTAACACAAGCTAACTGGAAGCTCCATCCCTGACGCAAGAATCACCTCCTGAAGGCCGGAAGTAGTGCACAGGAAAGAAGAGCGAGGAAGAACGAGAGATAGACCTCGGGGGTGGAGGCGGCGCCTTGACTCAATGCGTCTGACGGAACATCACCCGGAGGCCTCATCGACGCTAATCCGTAATCTCTGTTGTAATCTGCAAACAGAATTACAAGACTCTTTGTAAAGAGAGAAGAAATCAAATTAACTATTACCAAAAGCAACTTTATACATTAGCTTCATCATATATTTAGTTTTTTTTTCTTTTTTTTTCTCCTTTAAACAAAATTATATTATCCTTGAAAATTGTTTTATCATATAATTCATTTTTAAATATTGGAAAAATTTTCCAAGAATTATAAAAAGAATTATCTTTTATTTACATTATAAAAATTATTATCTCTCTCATGTTTATTTGAATGAGAAAAAGTTTTTAAAAAAATTTTCCCTCGTTAATTTTTATAACAAAAATATGCTTCAAAAAGCAAACATGTTTTTATTATAAATTTAAAAAGTTGGTTGTTAAAAATTTTTTTTTTGAACCATTGTTTTGTAAATGAATTTATTTTCTTAATAAATGAATTTTTTTTAAAATATATCATTTTTTCAGTAACGAAATTTAAAAGTTGCTGAAAGTAAATTATTTGAATTTTTTACTTGTCAGTGATATTATCATCTATTTTCGTTTAGTAAAAGTAAAAAAAAAAAAAAAAATTGCTATTTGCTTCTTTAGCGTGTGTACCAACGGAATCCAACGAGGTCGGAACCTGTCCCTTGAGAATCGTTACCGAGCAAAACTTTCAAGACCGACGATGCCATTGCGGTTCGAGACCGTGGTTACGCGATTGCTCCTCAACATTTTTTTTTTTTACATTTTAATTACTCTAACCTCTTGTCTCTCTTTTAGAGATTTTAATTCTGAAAATTGACAAGAACTCGCGCGATTTGATATATACCTATGTTAATTAGAGAAATGTTAATTACAATATATGTCTCAATTTTTTTTTTTTTAAATACATTTATAAAAAATGTAATTAAGTTAAGAAATATTTTTCTTTCTTTTTGACATATTTGAAAAAAATGTTTCGTTTATAGATTGAAAAATTATTCTCATTGTTTTTCGAAGTGTCGGGGAGAAAAATACATGTCGCACGTTTGCCTCGAGAAAAATTATTTTGTCGTACCATCGACGGATAAAATCGACGAAACGTGACTTTCTGCTTGGTCGCTATAGGGCTCTAAGCTTTTCAGTTTGCTTTGGTGTATAGCTTTATTTTTCTGCACTATCATTCGTCCTCCCCCTTTATTTTTTTCCTCTATTTTCAGAGGTCATTTATTTCCCAGAAAATTTTTCCAAGTTTATTTAGTGTACAACTGGAAATTTATCCCCCTACAGTGTAAGAAAATATCGTTGAAAATAAAATAATTCTATTTTCACCCTAATTCAATTAAATAAAAGTTTTGTGCAACAAAAGTGAATATAATAAATAAATTAATTAAAATTGTGAATAATGATATAAAAAAAACAAGAAAATATTTATATTCTCACGAGAAAATCATTAATTACCTTTCTTATTATTGTGTGACCAAAAAAAAAAAACAATATCAAATTTTCTCAATGAAAGTAATATAAAAATTGATATAAAAAGGAAAGTAAGAGAAATGGAAAATCGATATATACGAGAAAGCAGTACGAGCAAATGAAACGTTTAATATTCTCTTGAAAAATGGTGCGTGAAAAAATATTGTCCTTTTCTCGCTTTGGACACTTTTTTTGCGGTTTAACAATGAATAGGAAAAAAATTCTGAAAACACAATCGAAATTCAAAGCTTTAGCACTGATTGCAATGCAATCAAGAGATACCACGTTCACGTACCAATTTATCATGGACCTATGTGCTTCATTTATTTTATTTTTTTTTTTGGCTATTTACAAGTGACTGTCCATTCTCTGGAATATTTTGTCTAAAGAAATTAATTCATTTTTCGTTATTTAATTAATAATCCTAAAGAAATTGTCACACTGTATATAGTGCGATTAATATAATTTTTTAACCAAAATATACTTTTAGGAAAATAAATTGCATTGTTAAATTATAATTGCAAAAATTCTACAAATTTTTTTTTCAAAATTAAATTAATAACCAAAATTGCAAAAGAAAACTTTATAATTAACACATTATCTTTTTATTTAATTGGAAAAATTCATAAATTGCGAAATAATAAACCTGTGTGATAAGTTAATAAAAAAAAAAAAATAGTTGAGTGTTTTATAAACTGAGGGTGGTTTTAACAAGAATAAATTTTATTAATTAAATCTAATTAAAAATTAAATAAATTAAAATTCATAATATTAAAATTTCAATAGAATATCAGAATAAAAATAATGAAATTTAAATATTTAATACGATAATTAAAAATTATCATCAAAATTTCCAAAAAGGAAAATTAATGAATATAAGAATTGATATATGATCAGTAAAAAAAAAAAAAAAAATGTAAATAGTAAAACAAATTCTTTCGTATATAATCTCGCTTGCATTCACGGCATTGTTTTAATTACCCTAATTATTCGCGTAACATTGTCGCTCGATTGCTCTGGGAGTTCACGATATACGGAATCTGTTAAAATAGATAATTACTGACCTGAATCTCGCCATTCCTCCACTTCATAGTCGATTGGTCGCTGTCGTGATTTCTTGTTACCATTCCTCCCTGAACAACAAGTAATAATTAAAAAGAACCACTTTAATTTTTTTTTTTGTAATTTTAATACCAGTAGTTAGAGACAATTTTGGTCAGACAAGAACAAAATTTCAATTTTTTTGTTTCTTGTAAATAAATCAGTAGAAACAATTAACGTCGGACAAAATGTTTTTAATTTTTTATAATTTTTGATAACAGTAGTAAAATTAAGTTTCAGTCAGACAAAACTTAAAAAAATGGTACCAGTCATTTAAATAATTTTAAAAATTGAGTAATTTTTATACCAGTAGAGAAAGACAATTTTCGTCAGACTAAACATTTTAAATTAAATAATTTTCCTGAGTAGTAAAAGACAGTCATCGTCAGACAAATCAAATTTAAATGTTTTGCAGTTTTCATAATCGATAATAAATGATAAGTTCCATTAGACATTGTTTTTAATAATTAATTTTCATTTTAAGTAGTAAATGTAAGTTATAGTCAGACACTGTGTTTACAAATTTATTGAAACTGACAAAAAAAAATGTTTGAAACTATTTTAATTGTAGTGTCAGTAGTAAAAGGAAGTTTTAGCCAGACAAATCAATTTTGACGTTCTGCAATTTTAATATCAGTAGTAAAAGATAATTTCCGTCAGACAAATTGCTTTAATTGCTTTATATTCTGTGCCTGAGTAGTAAAAGTCAGTTACAGTCAGACACAACGTATTTGAATTTATGGAAATTTGACGCCAACGGTAAAAGATATTTGATAACAAACAAAATGTTTTAAACTAATTTAATTTTAGTATCTCAGTAGTAAAAGACAGCTTTCGTCAGACAATGAGTTTGAAAAATCATAATAAAAACAGTTATATCTTTAGACAAATCGTTTTGGTAATTTTTTATGAGTAGTAAAAGACAATTTTAGTCAGACAAATTTTTTAAACAAATTGGAATGACATTAACAGTAGTAAAAGACAGTTTTAGTCAGACAAATAATTAAAAAAAAATGATAATTTTTATATCAGTAGTAAAAGATAATTTTCGTCAGACGAAACGTTATGATTCAATAATTTTCCGTCTGAGTAGTAAAAGGCAATCATCGTCAGACAAAATGTTTTAACAAATTTCTAATTATAATACAAGTAGTAAAAGACACTTTTAGCCAGACAAAACAATTTCAAGGATCTGTAATTTTGATATCAGTAGTAAAAGACAATTTCCGTCAGACAAAAGATTTTTAATTTGTTTTTTTTTTAGTATACTATAGTAATGAAAGGTATAATTAAAAACGATACCATTTTGCTTTGATGAAGCTGTTGCAAAGAGAGACATTTGTGTCGTCGTTGTTGAAGGTGCTGGAATTTCTGAAAAAGAGAAAATTTGCAATTTTGCTTATATCAATATTTTTTTATTACAAAAATTTATATAATGTACTAATCAATATTATTTTTTTATTATATTATTTTTATTTTGTTTTTTATTTTGTTTTAATAAGTTATATTATTTTTTTTTGAAATTGTGTTTTTTAAATAAAATTCAAAAAGAATTATTTTGTGTAATCGAAATAAAAATTTTAAACTCACGGTCTAATTTAATGACACCATCAGTTCCTCCTAAAGAATTTTGTGCGACGCATTTATATGAACCAAAGTCTTTGACTCCAACATTTCTTATCTTGAGTAACATGTATTGATTGTAACCACTTTTTGTAGAAATCGCTTCGTATTTGTCTCCTGCAACGGAACGGTAATTGCCTGGGCAAGTAAAACCAAATCCTTTTATCACTCGCCGGAAAAGAAAACTCAAGTAGACGAGATCTCAACTCGCATTCGAAGTTCAAAGCTACGTCATTAAAAAAAAAATATATATATATATAAAAAAAATAATAAAAAAAAAAAAAAGTTGTTCACTTTGCCAATTCCAGACTTGCCTATCTTCGATATTGAGAAGTAACTTTTCTTATTGGCTATTTTTGATGTTTATTTTTATCAGTAGACAGTAAAAGCTGTGCATGAAACTTGTGTAACAAAAATAAGAAAAATGTGAAAAAGTTCATATAAATTTTTATACATATCATATAATAAAGTTAATAAAAAATGTTTTAAAAAGTATACTTTATATTTCTTTGTGATGATTTATCAAATTGTTAAAATAAAATTCTACTTGGAAAATAAGACACCCAATTTTTTCTTTATTCTTAAAATAAATTCACTAAAATTTTTTTTTTCTTTTTATTGAAATTATTTTTACGATAAAATGTATGCCAAATAAATATAAGAATATGTCAAGAAAATTTAATGTAATTAAAAATGATATTTTAAAATTGCATATTTTATATTGAAAAAATATATATATATATTTCCAGTTAATTTAAAATAATTATTTTGGTCATCCTAATAGAATGTCATTTAATTAAATTCTTTAATTGAATTTAAGTTATTTTCAGATGATTTCTGAATATTTCAAAAAGAATATTTAATAAAAAATTATTTTCAAAATTTTTCAAATTTAATAAACTTTAAAAGACAAAGTATTTCAGAGAATTTTATATATTTCAAAGTTGTTGAGAAATGTCAGTATATTTATAGAAAGTACAAGAAATAATTTCATAAGAATGTACATTCCAATATTCATAAAATATAAAATGTCATTGTTTTTAAAATTAAAAAAAAAAAAAATTTAACAAAAAGAAAAATAAAATTTACAAATGAAATTTAATGTTTCGTTGGAAAATCAGAATATATAAAGGACAACGAATATGTACAATGAGATTTGTCTTTAATGCTAGGGACAATCGACATATTATATTGTATGTATTATATAGTTGTTTGTAGATTCTTGACGACGTCCGTTAATCTCTGAAATCTCATTGTCACGATGAGCCACATCACAGAATCATGTTTCGCGCGAAAATCTCATCTCTCTCTCTCTCTCTCTGCCCACCCATTGGGTGTGGACTACCTCCTTTCAACATACTCTCAAATCTGAATGCAGTATGTGACATTTCTGAAACATATTGCCATTGAGGCAAATCTCGCACAGTAGTCGCGTCACGCACTTTGTGTTGATTGCTTGCTTTAATTTTCTGTTCATTTCATTTTCAACCCCCTTTTCTCTCTCACAGAGAGAGAGAGAGAGAGAGAGAGAAAATCCTCTGTCTATGTTGAGCGGCTTTGAATCATGCAAACTGTACGTTCTATTCAAATTTTCCGCAATAAAAGAAAAAAAGAGTGAACAATCTCATAACATAAACGAATTTTTTTTTTTTGAGCTACAAATATAACGAATGCGAGTGAGATCTGTGCTTATATATATATATATACCACGTGATAAGATTCTATGAAAGAATGAAATAATTTAATACATATGGCATAAAATAAAAAATATCCCAATTTATTATTTATTCGTAGACAAAAAATATGAACTTGCAATATAATATTATGAGAGAAAATAATTATGTTTTGTAAAATAATCTTATCAGTATATTTTTATATTAAAGTACGATAGATACAATAGCATCAAGTGTTATTATAAACTTATTTTATACTTCGACTAATTAAAATAAAAGTTAATTGTATATTGATTTTTTTTTTAAAACCTAAACCCACTTTCTAAAACTAATAATTTGTCTTTTTGCTAAACCGTTTTCAAAAAAATTAATCATTAAAATAAAAATAATTATCTAGTTTTTTTGTTAAACGGTTTTTAAAATAATAAAAAATAATTATTATTAGCTTTCCTTTTTGTAAAATTTTTGTAAAATAATAATTATTAAAATAATAATAATTATTATAACAATAATACACACTCCATAATAATATTAAACTAATATTCTCTCTCATAATAAAATTTTTGCATATAAAGAGTTAATGAAGTACGAGAATTATAATTATACTGAAAGCACATAAAGATTTTATATAGACCCTTTTTTTTTTTTTTTTTAATGTGACTTCATTGAAATTTTTATGAGATTTTTTTAATGAAAAAATGAAATGATCATTATTTGAAATATTAATGAATAATTCACGTGCTATAATGATATTTATAAATTACAAATGAAATATAGAAAATTACCAGAAACAATCATGTCGCCGTGTTCCGTTGTCCAATAATTTATTGAGTCTGGATACGCTTCCGTGTGACATTCCAGAGTAACGTCTTGTCCGATATAAGCTCCCTCTAATTGATTTGGTATCGATAACATTGGCGGAACTGTCAAAAAAAAAAAAAAAAAATTATATCGGAAAAATATAATTAAAATTTCAATCAATTTTTTTTTAAATTATTAAAAATTACAATAATTTGAATTTAAATATTCCAATAATTTTTATATAAAAATAAGCAAAGAATTAATTTGCAAGATTGCTGTTTTTTTACTGGGAGGTTTTTTCGGTCGCTAAATTACGAATCTGAAGACAGATTTTCAAAATTCAAAATGGCGGATCCAATATGGCGTCAAATAAATTGAAACTAATTAAAGGGTCAGTAAGTGATGTAGAATTTGAAAAATTTGCTTTTGATTCGTTTCTATATTTTTACTAGAAGGTTTTTTGGGTCACAAATTACGAATCTAAAGACAGATTTTTCAAATTCAAGATGGCGGATCCAATATGGCGTCAAATCGATTGGAAATAGAGAAAAGGTTTAATAAATATTTGTACAAATCAAAAAAAAATAGCATCGGATTTGTCTCCACATTTGTAAGTCGAGGTTTTTTTTAAATCGCTAATTACGAATCTGAAGACAGATTTTCAAAATTCAAAATGGCGGATCCAATATGGCGTCAAATAAATTGAAAATAATTAAAGGGTCAGTAAGTGATGTAGAATTTGAAAAATTTGCTTATGATTCGTTTCTATATTTTCACTAGAAGATTTTTTGGGTCACAAATTACGAATCTAAAGACAGATTTTTCAAATTCAAGATGGCGGATCCAATATGGCGTCAAATCGATTGGAAATAGAGAAAAGGTTTAATAAATATTTGTACAAATCAAAAAAATAGCATCGGATTTGTAAGTGGAGGTTTTTCTAAATCGCTAATTACGAATCTGAAGAGAAATTATCAAAATTCAAAATGGCGGATCCAATATGGCGTCAAATAAATTGAAAATAATTAAAGGGTCAGTAAGTGATGTAGAATTTAAATAAAATTTGCTTTTGATTCGTTTCTATATTTTTACTAGAAGGTTTTTTGGGTCACAAATTACGAATCTAAAGACAGATTTTTCAAATTCATGATGGCGGATCCAATATGGCGTCAAATCGATTGGAAATAGAGAAAAGGTTTAATAAATATTTGTACAAATCAAAAAAATAGCATCGGATTTGTCTCCGCACATTTGTAAGTCGAGGTTTTTTTAAATCGCTAATTACGAATCTGAAGACAGATTTTCAAAATTCAAAATGGCGGATCCAATATGGCGTCAAATAAATTGAAAATAATTAAAGGTTCAGTAAGTGATGTGGAATTTGAAAAATTTGCTTTTGATTCGTTTCTATATTTTTACTAGAAGGTTTTTTGGGTCACAAATTACGAATCTAAAGACAGATTTTTCAAATTCAAGATGGCGGATCCAATATGGCGGCAAATCGATTGGAAATAGAGAAAGGTTTAATAAATATTTGTACAAATGAAAAAAATATCATCGGATTTGTCTCCACATTTGTAAGTGGAGGTTTTTTTTTAAATCGCTAATTACGAATCTGAAGAGAAATTACCAAAATTCAAAATGGCGAATCCAATATGGTGGATGAGAAAATTTTTTCAATTCATCTGAGTTTCTTTGACAATACCATTGATAAATAATTAAATATAATATTATATATCAATATTGATAATTAATTTTGTGATGCGTAATGAGAAATTGTAATACACTAGTGATGTTCGTTATGTATTATATTGCACAGAAGACAAGGTGCAGTCGTAGTATCAATGACAGTATATCGAGCATATCTGGGTCAAGTAGCCGGCAGTAAATTGGAGGCTTAATGAGACGTTGAAAACCGACCTAATGCATCGCCACACCACACCCATAGAAGAGCTTGGTTCCTCTTTATAGCCATGCGCATGGAATGTTCATACAATGTGTAGGTGTCTGTTGTGTCGGCAATTGCATAGAATTCAATGGCTTGACAATGACCAGGATCCTTCGACCATGTCGGCTATCACAATAGCTTTACATAGATTAGTTTACTACCTGATATGCGTATTCATTACACTACCTCAATCAGTACCAGTCAAACATAATGTTTGACAACATAATTTCTTTGTTAATAATAATAATAATAATAATTGCAAAAAATTTAATTAGATTTAAAAAAAATTTTAATTTTTCTGCAAAATTTTAATTAGAAATATTTTTTTTATAAAAAATATTTTTTTTGTAGCTAAATAAAGTTTTAGAATTTGAAATTGTAATTTTATGAGAGAGGAATATGTGCATAATTTAACATAATTTGGATTAATATAACTATCATGGAAAGTTAATAAACAAAGTTTGATTAGTGAGTATATATGTAGTTTTGTTGACGATGTGAAGTGACTCTCGTTGAGAGAGATGGCTAGTTTTGGCGTGGCATACTATTTAAAGCCTTGTGCCTAATCTAGAAAGGCTTAAACTGCCAGGACCTTTACATCTATAGAGAGCACTTTCTCACATCTCCTCGTAAAATCGATTATGCACAGCTCTAATCCTACCCTTTAACTACTCAGTTAATTAAAATCGGATTCAACGCAATCCTGAGGTAACACACAGTAAACCTGACAATTCAATATTTTATTATTAAACAAAATTTTTTTTTTTATTTCTATTATTCATAATCAAAATTAATTATTATCTTAATGAACTGAAAATTTTGTTAAAATATCAGTTTTTAAATTAGCGAGTTATTTCGTATAATTTATATATATATATGTATAAATTTTGTTTATATAAACTATTTTGAGCATAAACGTTGAGAATTTCAAATATTGCTTTACAGCATTTAATTAATTTAATTAGTTCATTGAGAGATGTGGTACTTACATTGAACACGAAGAGAGACGCGTGTGCTCACAGAAGGTGGAACACCATTTGAAGCAATGCACAAATATGCTCCCATATGAAGTCTACTAATTTTGACAATGTGTAAGACTTCACCGTCCACAACGCTCACTGGAATAAAAATAAAAAAAAAATGTTTAATTACAAATTGTAATTTAGAAATAATGTATATATAGTAAAATAGTTTTGAAATAATTTAACACAATAAATTTCAAATTTATATTAAATTATTTCTGCAATATTTTAATAAATTAAATTTTCCACATTTTCTTCTATAATATAATAAATAAACGTTTAAATTTAATCAATTTTTTTTTATGTTTTTAAAATATATTTCATAAGTTTAGTTAAACTTTAAAAGATTCAATTTGAACTTTTCAGAGCTTTGGTCGGATGAAAAAGTTTTCGGTAGATAATTTGTGGCTGTCATTTATGGGGGACTTATATAAAACTCCCGACAAAAATTGATACTATAAAACTAAAAACTCGGAATAAAAAATAAAAACGATTTTTAATTTCTTTGATATATATTTTTTTAAGATTCTACAAAACAAAAAAGTAGTAAACGACCAATTCTGGTTTTATTTGGGAAAATAAAAATTTATATTTTTTACTATTGAAAAAACACTTCAGTGAAAATTTAAAAAAAAAAATATGGCAAAAGGAAACTTTTTCTATGTATTTTATATTAAGATGTAAACAATAATTGAACTTGAGCATATATAAATTTATATAGAAAATTGCACAGGAAAGAATATATTCCATATAATGAAGTTAATAATCAATAGGTTTGTAAATATTTCAATTCCTACTCTCAAACTGATTCAATTTACATAATAATGAGGACATTTAACCGACTGGAAATTAAACTGAAAGCTAGTCGATCGAAATATTTAATTACTTAATTACACAGCTCATGAAAATTCAAGTAGCAACAGTAACTGCAAATTAAACTGTCAAGAATTTATAAATGCGTTGTTCTAAATCTGAAATGTATACCTCTGTATTTGAAAAGAAAAAAAAAAACCCCTCCTGAAAAAAAAAATATATATATATATATTCCATTGATAGCCATAGAAGAATATTGTGAATGTTTGATATCGAGAATAATAAAACTTGAGAAAAGAGAAATGATTTTGATGAAAAAGAAAAAAAAATATATATATAAAACTATAACGACTGTCTGTTCTTTTTTCTGACATGAATAACGTAAACTCATTCCATTTCCGATGATCGAAAACTATAAAGTATACCAAGCACTTTTCAGTCCATAAAATCCATTAAAACTCTATGCATCTTACACTATCAACAATGAAAATGCGAACAATTGTATAAATTTTTAAAAAATAAAATGTTTATTGCATTTCAATTAAACAAAGTTTCAAGCCTATTGTTTTGCAATGGAATTTTAAAAAAAGAACCATGAATTGAAAAATAATTATATATACAAATTCGAGATAATGAAAATTCACAGAAAATTATAAGTTATTAAAATAAGCTCCATCGCTTATTATTTTAATCCAATTTTGCTTATTTTAATACCAAAATGAATTAAAATAAGCAAAATTGGATTAAAATAATAAGCATTGCAGCTTATTTTAATACCTTATAATTTTTTTTGTGTTAATACTGAAAAAGAATATTTGAAAATTAAAAATTTGCAAATATTTGAGGCGGCCTATAAGCTGAGAATGTTGGAGAATTTTTAGAAAAAAGAAATTTAAAAATATTCAAGAATGTTGCGGAGTATTTAACTTTGTTGTAGAATGTTTCAAAATAATTTCTCATCTATATCGTGTTTATCAAAGATGCCAACACTATATATAAAATTTATCAAGTTTATTGCCAGGAATGTTTGATAATGTGTTAAAAAAAAATATTTTGTCACTTAAACTCACAGTAAACTATGAGGTATTAAAAAACAATACAGATTAAATTAATTAAAAGATTATAATTTTTTTTTAATCCAATTTTTTTTTACAATTTGGCAAAAACTAATTTTTTCAAAATTTGCAATTTTAATTTTTGCATTATTTTAATCTTCACAAGGATTAAAACGTTGCTTTTTATTTTAATTCATTTTGATATTAATACAATTTACTGTCAGCTAATAAATTAAGATTATTATTCTCTTTTATCGAATTTTTTTTCTCTATGGGAATATTTTTTTTTATATTTCGAATGAATTTATAACTTTCTCTCTCTCTCTTAGAATTATTGTATAAAAATCAGATTCGTTTCAGTAAACCAATATTGTGTTTTATATATATATATATAAAAAGCTGAGGTTTTTATTTTCGTTATTTTTTGTTCGTTCCAAGTCATGAGGTCAGCATTTCATTTCAATGGCACGTTTAATATCAGAAAATGTACGACAAGAATCGTTTTATATGAGCAATGTTAGATACTTTGTCGGCGTGCATTGTAAGTCGTCGAGCTTTCGATATTGGAATTGGAAGAAAAGATGCGAATGAAATAAGATTCGAGGGGGATAGTTTCATAGAAGCAAAAAAAAAAAAAAAGGGCGTTGAAACTTGTGTTACTATTTGAAATATTTAAGGTCTTTTTTGGTTGAAGCTCGCGTGGTATTTGCGTATTTCGAGAATGATGTTCACTCATCCTTATGCTACCATGTTTGGTCGTAAAGTGAAACCGACGAAGGTCGTTGTCCCCTGTTCAAGTTATCGGTAATTCCAAAGGAGAACGATGCAAGTACAAAGGAACACTCAATACAACAAGGAAACTTGGCATACGTGAATATATATATATATATATATATACAAATATATACACGAACATAAACATATACGTATACATGTACACATACATACAAGGATCGTTTATTGGACACTCTGCGACAAAGAGTGCTTTGCACTTTGCTTGGCATCTATTTGCATCATGTTGCATTCATTTTCTAAGCGCTCCGAAAGATCGAGACAAGATTTACGCGAATTTGCATCTCGAACAAAGAACCCTATTGTCGTCAAAAGCAATACGTTTTTCAATATTTACGAGATTTATTTTCTATACAACACTTTTATTGTTTCGCACTTCATCTCATTCTGACATAAATACAAAACTAGAATTAAATTACATTTTAAATTTAATTCATTCTGTAAAGAATTTTACAATTTTCTTTTATTTGAAAATTTTTTTTTCTATTAACATTTATTTCTCTCGAAATTGAACTTAAATTAAAAACATTTTTGTCGTACGTCTGGTCAGAAAAAAAATGAAAGAAAGAAATAATAAAAATTAAAAATTAAGAAGATTATATAAAATTCTTATTAAATTATTTAACAAAATAGTCAAAATTGGCAAATTTTCATCGTCATATCTAAATTAATTTATAAATGTTTCCTATTTCATATAATGATTAACTCTCTGATCAGGTTTTAGTAAATAATTATTCATACATACGAGTACAGATATATAATGACAAAGGATCCTTTCATAAATAAATTAAAGCCTTTTATTTAATTAGCATGAAATGGTTTAATTAAACTGATTACTTTAATTAGTTGCCGTAAATTAAACACACTATTTCAAAAACATGGCACCTGTCGAAACTCGACATATAATATACGTTTAAAAAAAAAAAAAAAAAACTAAAACAAAAAAGTAAAAGTGAAAATTGAAAAAAAAAATTTACGAATATTTTGACCTCTAAATCGTAAAAACACCTTTTTCAATTTTTTTTTCCCACTTTTCAGGTCAATACTATTAAAAAAAAAAAAAACGTTGTCGATATTTATCACTTTTAGCTTCTTTTTTTTGCTCGATATATGAAATAAACGCTAAAAATATCGTTTTAGTGTGTCAAATAAAAATATAACTGCGCTCAAATATTGACTTTGCAAATATTGACAATTCTTTTCTTTATTTCCTGTTTTTTCTGAACGTTATTAGTTTTTTTTAAAAAATTTTGATTTAATTTAAAAAATTTAATTTTAAAAAACAATTATTTATTTGCAAAAAAAAGAATCAATATTTAGAAAAAACAATCAATATTTAATTTTATAAACAAAAAACAATATTTATAATTATTTTATATTCATTTGTTTTTAAATAACCATTATGTTTCTTTTTTTTTGTCAAAAGAAAAATTTATAAAAAATAATTATCCTATTTCCTCGTTAAATGAAGATTAAAAATTGAACAAGAAATAATTGCGTTGTTCGCAAAGTATTGGAAATGTGGAGAAGAGAGCAAATATGAAAGATATGCATTGTGAAATGGATATATATATATTTAATAATAATAATGAGAGGAAAATGGAACTCGAAATATGGTTGTTATCACGATTATTATTAGGTCATACGTTATAAGGTAAAAGTCATAATAAATCATATATATGTATGTGTTCTGGGAAGAGAGAAAAAAGTGAGAGAGCAAAAGCTGGGGCTTCATTTCATGATTCTTTAAAACTCGATGGCAACACGCGACATTCGATAAAATGCGAAAAACTGCACTTTCTGGTAGAAAAAAAAAATCCGTTTAACGCTGTTCGCTATAAAACTAAAACCATTGTGAATTGCAAGAAAGTCTTTCCTTCGACTTGAGAAACTTACAAAGTGCTTTTAACCATATAGAGTGAATGTCACCAACTATTTTTTGCCCTTCATTTTTTTTTTGTTTAAAACCTACGAATCAAAAAAATTTTTTTACAACAAATTTTTTTTAGATTGTCCATTTAGAGGAAAAAATTTTAAAACTTTTTTTTTCAAATCTTCCAATCAGATTCACTCACTCAACTTTTATCTCCATGAATTATATTCTTAATTAACCTCATCTTTCCGTAAATGTAATTAGAGTTTCTAACTGTAAAAAAGTCGGTGATAAAAAAAAAAATTTAAATGTTGCCTTTGGAGGAAGGAAGAAAAGTTTTTTTTTTAAATAAGGGAGAGAAAAATAAATGAAAAAAATTTTTTGTGGGATTAAAAAACAAAAAAGTGGTTGATTATCTGCAAAACACTTTTGGATATATGTATACAATAAATTTTAACATATTACAATAAGGACAGGAAAATAGAAAGCCGAATTATATATATATATTGTATTCGCATTGTTCATGTAAATCAAAGCCAGTATTATAGTAAAATTAAATTCTC